AAAAAAAAAAAAAAAAAAAAGGAAAGATGCTGAGAAAGACTCCTACATTATCCGCAAAACAAATTATTATTAAACCTTTGTTTCAAGTGAGCATTAAAGAACTATAACGCAGAACTAATTAAGACTAAAGAACTAAATGATCTGTATGCACGAAACTTTCACTGGAAGGAAAGAGTGAAAAGCCCTTTAAAAATAAAACTTTCTGTGAATACAAAAAAAATTTGGTAAACCAAGACCTACAAGTTATTAAGCTTTTACGAGTAATGTAAACGTGTACCTCAAGCATTTAGCTAGATTTCAAGACTCATATCTAACCACATAAGTTAATAAAGAAATAGTACCGGCAAAACCTAACGGCTAAGTAAAGTACTGACGCAATTACAAGCTACAACGATAAACCTTAACCCACAGAAATAATAAACGACTGGAATTTTAGAAAAAATTTTGCACCAAAGCTTAGGAATAAACGCCAGCAAGAAAACTCAAGTTCCAACCCAGTAATTTCCAGAAGTATCCAAATGTCAGTAAGGAAACTCCCTAAAAGAATAATAACAGTTTTAGCAACTGAGTATACATCAACAAAATAACTTACATAAAATTTGAATAAACACCTAAAAACCCCTCCTAAACCCCATTTCTGGATAGAAATTCCGCATCCTAATTCAATGAATACCTCGAGTGCGTCAAAATAACGAATACAAAAAAATATGTAAACATGTTAGAATTCCAAGGCTTAAATGAGTACAAATAAAGGTAAATCACAATGAGGAATAGAACATGAAACAAAATTTTAAACATGAATGAAAAATGAATAGACTCATTAAAAGTATGAAAGTAACGTTTAAAAAAACATCCGTGACCTCCGAACTAGCATAAGAAAGCAAATTTGGTGACTAAGGTAACACTGACTTACATTTTCTTAAGACTAATGAGACCAGTGATAACAAGAAAGCTTCTCTCAAAAAATGACAAGAAACCATCCTGCATTACAACCTAATGATCAAAAAACTACAATATTACAAGCAGCAAAAGTAGTGAGTCATATGCTAATAAATAATATGGATCACAGAAAGGTGAAAACGACAACGTAAGTGACAACATAAATTTCAAGAGAAGTACAATGACATCAAAATAGAAAAAAAAAAAGGAAAAAAAATTGCGAAAACTTTACCATTTACAATTTTTGAATTTTAAGTGAACGATTACGCAATCCTATGATTTGAGGGGAAGAATTCTTCATTCTGGAAAAAACTGTGCTACACAGAAAGTGTTGGGAACCTTTGTGAGATAGTTTGCCAATGTAACTCACTAATTCCAATACCTTGAACACCGTTCAAAAGAGGCCAGTGTTTCTTATGTATTGCAACTGCCTAAAATTGGATTCTTCAAGCATAGTAGTACTAACGGCAGTCCCAAATGCTAATTTAAAAAAGTGCCTTATAGCCGACAAGCTTAAGAACTCACAGCACCCAAAGAAGGACAAACCACCAAATAATACCTTCTGGATAGCTTCTTGAGCACTAAGTTTTGGTATACCATTCAATGCTTCCAGACTCAGCTTTCCGGCTTCAAACGAGTCACCGCACAGAACCTGAGCAAAACACGATGAAAATGTATTAAAATACACCTAATAGTCAGAAATCCTCTTCAATCACTACACAGATCACGAACAAATAATAACAAAGCAAAAAAAAAATTTTTAATTACAGAATTGAATGTTCGACTAAACTCGAAAATCAAGCCGAGTACGAATGGCAAAAACACTAAGTGATTCACCTTCACACATTCTTCAGCTGAATCAGAAATTGCAGCTAAATCATATCCTCCCTCAAGAGCAAGCACAATACGTCCACCGGCGTAATTCATTAACTGACGAGTGAAAAAACCGAATATTTGAGGGGACAGATTATAACTGAAAGTGAGTATAAATCGCTGATAAAGTATAAATTTTGCCTCAAATTCATTTAAACGTGAGAAATGGTCACAATAACAATATTCGGAATCAAATTAGGACCAACTTCAAGATACTCCACCGCTGTGAAAAAAGCAACGTACCCTCCTAATGCCGAAGAATGGCCTCTAGCAGCATCAAAACCAGCAGACACCATGATGAAATCTGGCTGAAAACAGTCCAGAACTGGCATAACAACTACGCGCCATGCAGCCAAGTAATCCGGATCTGACATTGGCTCACCAGAAAAAGGAATATTCACTGTAAACCCTTTACCTTCTCCGGAGCCTATCTAAAATACGTACAAAATTTTATCAAAGAGACTTCAGAACTACAAAGCTATTTTACAATACTAATTAGTCGGTAGACTAAAAACCAATAAGAGATCTGCAAAAAGTTATAAAAACGACCTCCGTAACAGCACCCGTGCCAGGGAAGAAATTTCCATTATCATGCCGATGAAGCGAAAGATATAGAACAGTTGGATCCGAATCAAACAGAGACTGTGTGCCATTCCCATGATGAACGTCCCAGTCAATGATGGCAATGCGTGAACACTGCTGACGGTACCGCTAAAAACGGTGCGCCACGATGAAAAACAGAATGAGTCCGTACCAGTAAGCTTTTTTGCAAAACTAGATTAAACTTTAAAAATTCCTACGCATAATAACCGAAAAAACATCAACGCCAAATGGTCAAAAAATGGCGATCATAACTAAAAGATCTCCAGATATCAATGTAATCGCACTGCAGATTTCCAAAGTAAAGAACGAAACTCA